GCCAACTTATAGTTATTCAAATTAAAAATTTTAAATTAGGTTCTCGCCCAACTCAGCTTGCAAGTAATTCAAAGTTGGAATCACCGAGCAATTTAAACCACCTAATAGCTTTCCAAAAAAAAAAAAATCAATTATGTTCTCGACCAACCTAGCTTGCGGGATATTCAAAGTTGGAATCAGCGAGCAAATTTAGCCACCTTATAGATGTTCATGCTAAAATTGTTCCTAAAAAGAAACAAGTTTCTTGTTGCTCAGTTAAGTAGATCATGGTTAATATTTTATAAATTCAGCAAGGGTATGTTTCATCAACTAAAATGGATATTCATTTTCAATTCATTCATGAATCACAATGATCGATGTGTTCCATGAGACTCATATACATCACTAAGGTTAAAAACGCTTAAGATGGACTTCATTCCATAATCGTAGCAATTGTCTTCCTTCTCTATCCTCTAGCTCTAGGCTCCCCTCTCTAACACCCTAATTACTATGAAAGATCCTTCCCAGTTTGGCTCTAGTTTTTCCACATGTTTGAGTACATCGGCTCTCCTCAGTACTGGGTCACCTACTTGGAATCTCCTAAGTCGTAATTTCTTATCAGAAACAGCTCGAATCTTTTGTTTGTATTGTATAACTTGTACTAAAGCTTCCTCGCGTAGCTATTCCACTAGATATATGCTTCTTCCGCCAATTCTTTATTGTTGCTCTTGTCAAAGTACTTTACACGATGTGAGCTAACTCAACTCTACTGGCAGGTAAGCCCATAAAACTGAAGTCAGATTGTCTACCCACGCTCTAGATGCCTTCTCGAATCTCTTCTTAAGTCCTTGTAGAATTGTCCTACTGGGAACTCCATGCCTGCAAAAATATTGTTAAACATGAAGTGTATCATTTTGTCTTCCGTCATGCAAGCTAGTGGTTCTGCCTCAACCCATTTGCTAAAGTAATCCATTGCAACCACGAGAAATTTCCTTTTTCCCAATTTAGTTGGTAGAGGTCCCACTAGGTCTAATCTCCATTGTGCAAATAGAATTGGAGTATTTATGTTCGTCATCTCCTTGGTAGTTATGTGCGTGGTATGGACATGTCGTTGGCATTTTTCACAGTGTTGTACTAGCTTAGTGGCCTTAACTCTCATTGTTGGCCAATAGTATCCAACACTTAGCTCATTTCCTGCTATAGCCCGCGCATCTGAGTAAGTTTCACAACATCTTTCATGTATTTACCTTAGAATGTATTCCTTGTTTTCCTCAAAAACACACCTCAAGTGAAGTCCAACGTATGACCTCATGTAGAGAACTTAGTCTAGCTCGAAAATATTTCGTTAATCGTCTAGTTGCACACTCAACTCGTTACACATCTCCTGATGGCACTTTTCCTTGCATCATCTCGTTAATATATAGTGTCCTCCAATCTTCTTTTTCTTTCACACTCATGACTTCCCTAAGGTTCACTTTTTTTTGGTGTAGTGTTGTAATTACATTGCCAGTGCCTCCTGCATTCGAACTGACCATCTTTACCTTTCAGTCATCTCGTCCATTCTTCTCCCTATGTATCTAGATAAACTCAACATTTATGAAATTTTGTATAAGATCTTGATTCTCCTCAACATATATGACCATACGTTTCTCCTTTTCCTCACAATTTCCCAATACTGGCCCAACGACCAGTTGAGAGTATGAATGTTGTCGTGAGCTTGCTAGCTTCTCCACTAACTGCGAGTTGCATCCCCTTGATTTGTGCCTCATATTCAGCCATGTTGTTTGAAGCCTTAAATCCGATATTATTGAGAACTCAATCTGCTCACCCTATGGGGTGATAGGAATGATTTGTTGATATGATCCTTTGGCAGCCGACGACCTATCGACATATGTTGTCCATTTTTTTTTTTTCTTATCCTTGGTGCATTCATGTATAAAGTCAGCCAATGTCTATGCCTTAATAGCTCACCTTGGTTGGTACTCTATCACGTACTCAATAACTTCCATTGTCACCAATCGACCTGACACTGTTGGTCAACCAATTGTTTCCTTTAACTGGAAGTTTATCTTAAATATAACTTTATGATTGAGATAGTATGGTCGCACTTTCCTTGCGGTAATGACCAAAGTGATCGCAGTTTTCTCCACATCCGTGTACCTCGCTTCTGTTCCTTGCAACGCCTTACTCGTGTAGTAGATGGGTTGCTGAGAATTACCTACCTCACGCAACAACACGAGTTCAATGCCTTTGATCCTGCTGAGATGTATAGGACAAATCAATCGTCTGGTTCTGATTTTGTTAACAAAGGAAACTCAACCAAAAAGGTCTTCAGTTTGTCAAAAGCTACTTTTGTTTTTTTTCTTTTTTTATGTCCACATGAACTTTGATTTTTTATTCTGTATTTGGAAAAAGGGAAAACTCCTCTCTGCGGAACTTGTTATGAACCTTCTAAGTCCACAATTCGACATGTCAACAGTATCTTCGGAATGTTTCTCAGTGCAGCCATATCTGGAACGACTTTCACGTTTTGCAGGAGTCACCTCTATGCCCCTTTTCGTCACAATGTATCCTAACAACTTTTCTGCCTTAACTAGAAAGGCACATTTGGCGGGATTAAGTTTCATACCAAAACTTATTAATCTCTCGAACACTTTCCTTAGGTCATTGGATTGAGCTGCAGTCGTTCTATTCTTTACCAGCATGTCGTCCACATATACCTCCATGTTGTGACCTACCACGTAATAAAACATCCTATTCATTATCGTTCGAGGGTAACTGATTGCTCCTCAAGTCGTTGGAGTTATGCAGAGACCTCTACCTCTGTTCCTCGTTCTCTAACTTGCTTCCCTCTATCCCTTGTGACTTCTTATCGACCTAATTCTTCACCACTGGGCATCATCGGCATAGCTCTACCAGCTCCAGTTGGTAACATTTGACTTTTTTGTTCCACGAGTGTTGATTGCTCCTCCTTGTCGAAAACCAAACGACGGTTCATGACTACTCTTCGGTGGCAATCCCAATACAGTGATTCCTGGTTTTGGACTAGGTGCCAAAGGAGGGTGCTTATGCGTCCAAGTCTCCCTGAACTCACCACTCAGGTTCCTCTGTATCCCTTCTCTCTCAGCCATGTCAGGTGACAGGTGGGTAAAGAGCCATTAATTCCTTCAAAGCTCCCCATGAGCGGTGCCAAATGATGTGTCGAAGACTCGAGTCAAGGTTGAGCAAATCTAAGCTCCGATCTGCCTGAGCTACTACAAAATGACTTGCAAATGGGTTGGGAGGGTCTCCCTGCGTTAGCACTTCGACGCCAAGTTAGTATAAGAGAAGATGAAAGATGCTTTGTAATCAAAGAGTTATATGTAATGTACGTAGAATGTAAAGATAGTTTTTTGGATGTATCTCAACCTTTTTTTTATAAGGGAATACCTTCCCAAAGTGGTCTACCCGAGTTGCCCAGCTACCTGCGTTCAACCTGCCTTGCCCATGTTTAATCTTCTCTGCTAAGTGTTTATCCTCATCCTAAACATATCCTAGTCACCATTAATTTCATTCTTACCCTCATAAAATTTCCTATTAACCTATGTAAGTCTGCTTGTAGTGCTTATCGGGTCGGCACAACTCTCCTCTAGTCGTCTGACCCAAACCTCAACCATCGCGGTCAAGCTATCTTATTCTCATTAGGTGTTGAGATTGTCTCCGGGGGCACTCCAGGTCGTTTGAGGGCCCTCAGATCATCTGATTACTCCAGGTCGTCCAGGTGCTGATGGGTTTTCCAAGACCTTCAGGTCGTCCGTATGCCTGGTCCTCAAGTCGTCTTATGAGATAGGTAGCTTAACCTCCCGGTCGACCTCTTAGTACTTGATGTAATTCCGGCTAGCCCAGTTATGGTTATTAGAAGATGATGATGATAATATATGGTGTAAAAATGAAAATGTGAATTTGGGGTATTTATAGGAACGAAAATCTGATTTCTTGTAATTACGGCGAACCGCAAATTTAGGGTCGAACCGGTTGTTCAAACGATTCAAGCCCATCGTGATCGTTGGATCTCCAATGGTCACATCACCCAATGATCTGTTTTGAAAATCTGACCGTGTGATATATCAACCCGTTAGTTCTGAGCCCAACCTAGCCCAAAACTGGCAATGAAAATCATTTTTTAAAAAAATTTATATTTTTTGATATTTTGAAAAAGCATGTCGAACCACCAGGCCATTTTCGATTCGCAACAAGAACTAGCAGTTCATTTTTGTTTTTTAATCTGGAAATGGAATCGGCTAAACCAAACGACAGGTTGGTTCAAGAACCGTGGTCAACTGTCAGGTCTGGTTCTAGAACAGTTAACCATGGGCCTGTTCGGATTCATGGCCACGTCTACTCGTGTACATATCAATTTTTAAACGAGCAAGATTGCACGTAAATCTTATATAATCCATATATATATATATATATAATTGCTAACAATTTATTAAATAAAACATAATAATTTTAGCTATGTGGCATTAATCCACACTATTCCAATATTCATGATAAATTATTTCATTAGGTTTTTTTTTTTTTT